CGTAAAATCAATTGAGTTATCTTTTCTTTTTCATGAACCAGTACAAGCCCAAGACCAATGGCCTTCATAATAGATCAAATCAGCTGTGTAAGGCCCAATAAGAGAAGGGAGCAATATTGCAAGCCCAAATAATGAAAAGAACTCGGAGTGATAACCCAATCAGCAGCCTCCATGGATAAGGTTTCACTATCGCTTCTTCCTCTTCTTCGTTCAAAGCTATAAGCTTTGGCTGTCCACAAACTACACAATTTACTCAGACAATTACACAATTCCCAAATCATATTCTTTTGTTTATGAAAGATTAGTTCTTAGAAATGGCGGTTGCATCTATGAGTTTCAACCTAGTCGGTGCATTCAGAGGGCTTTCTCTGCGCTCGGGCTCAAGCTCATCATCGTCCTCCTTCTTCAGGGGCGATTTGGGTTCGCTACAAGTGGGTCCCAAGCTTTCATTAGTGTCAAACCCCCAGAGATTGGCCTTGACGATTCAAAACGCGCACAAGAAAGGAGCTGGGAGTACCAAGAACGGTCGCGATTCCCCAGGCCAAAGGCTCGGCGTCAAGATTTTCGGTGACCAGGCTGCCAAGGCTGGCTCCATCATTGTACGCCAGCGTGGCACCAAGGTACGCACTCAATTACACCCAAACCAAACCAAACCAAAATGTTGTTAATTTTGTAAAATCAATCTTATATTAGGGGTTAAAGTTGTACTGATTTTGAGCCCAAAGTTTGTGTGATATTGGCTCAACATTGAAGAGTGGCATAAATAAATTGAAACCATTTTCCGTGAAGCTTAGATTATAGAGATGCATGTTTGATAAATCTAGTGGTGGGTGGATGGATTGTGAAGAATGTCCCTTCTTTGAGTGTGTTGAATTATTAAGGATTCTGCAAGTTCTCAGAAATAGAGGGTGAGTAATTTCAGTGTGATTTTTAGCCAATTAAATTAACACCACCAAGACTAAGACTTAGTTTTTATCCACTTCGATTGACATACAAAATCTTTTTATGACCTTCGGATGTTTATGTTTGGCGTCAATTTCAGTTCCATGCAGGGAAGAA